TCCGTTTAGATCTCTTTTAAAACATGTAGATGGCACCAAAGAAAAAAAAAACACTTTCAATGGTCCATCGGGAAGATTCTGTGCAAATGTTTACCATAATTTATCCAAAATATCATTTTCAGCTGTTGCAATTCCTTTGCATTCTATTTTTAAAATTAAAAATACAGATACCCTTAGTTGTGACCAAAGACTTCTTTATGAATATACAGTGGGTATTTCTAGAGGTAAGGTGGACTCTAGATTTACATCACGGAAAATTGGTCCATTAAACTAGGCAAGATGGTTAACTTTAGCCATGAGGCTGAAGTGTTTATGAACTCGTGGCGTACACCCACGAAATCTTTCGACCAAACTCCACAGTTTAATAAATTTTATTGAGAATGTGTATGTCATTTGCTGGTTCGAAATTAAAAGAAATAACAAGTTCCACAATCAGCAAATGTATATTTTCAATATGATCCAAATGATTTGGAAGCAACCATATGAAATCCAACAGATCACATAGAAAAATATACAATACAATTGTGGCACCTTGCATTATTAGAAATATTCATAGAAATATGATTTAATTTTTTTTTCTCGGTTTATTAAACAGGTTGTTGTTAATTTTTTTTTTTTAACGGAAAATAATTGAGTTGAAAATAATTCACTAAGATTGTACTTGGACGATCCTAAGGGAAGAAGAAAAAGAAAGAAAGAGAGTTGGATGATGCATGACCCAGTCATAAGCGAAGATAAGTGTCAGAAAGATATCTTGGCCTGTGTGGGCCGAATTTTTAAAGACAATTGGAAGAATAGAATTAGAAATAATAAGAAGAAAGAAAGGAAAAAAGACATGATATCAAAACGGGCCGCTTTGATGAAAACCAGATATCGGTCAAAACATCTGACCTACTTTTTGCGTAGAAAGACCCATTATCAATTTGGAGTAAGGGGAAATTTTAAGAGCGAAATCTTAATCAGAGAAAAGGTGTTTTTGGGTTGAGGGGAGGACCGGTGGAACTATATACAGATCCTGACCTATTAAGAATTAGAAACCTACGATAATAAAGTGGGAACATTTTCAATGTAGATAATTAAGATTTTCTGACTGCCGGGTCTGACAAAAACAAGAGGTGAAAAAACGATTGTCTCAGATCACAGATGGCGACAATATTCTTCCCTGAAGTCACAACTAATTAGCGGCGGGCTGGTTGACAGAGCCCAGGTGAGAGAAAGCCAAGATTGTCATTTTTCGTACGTGCAGAAAAGGCAAAATTGATTTTGTTTTTTAAAACAAGAACGATGTAACCACGCCCGAAAGGAGGAGAAAGGATGCTCGATCAATAACAATTGGTCGGAAACGGTCACGTGATCTGCAGAAAAGAAGAGAAAGAAATGCCCGATCAGGAACCATTGGTCGAAAAAACGGTCACCTGACATACAAGAGACTAAGAGAGATGGTGTGCACCTCCCCACAAAAGGCACTGTGAGGAAGTAGGGTGAAAAACAATAGCGATAATGAGAAATCAAAAATAATGCGACTTTTGGAATTATCGAGAAAACCCCTGACGCCGACAGACCCACCCCAGTTTGTTGCGGCGTCAATAAAAGCAGGACCCAGTCGACAGAAATCAGTTGGAGGGAGTTGCAGCTGGACCGCGGGCAGGATAGAGCCTGAACGCGGCCATCAGGCCCGATTCACTCGCCCCTTTGCGGGCAAGAGAATCCTCAAACAAGAAATCCTTCCAGCCCAAGTCGAAGACAGAAGTTCAGCCCCGGACGGCAGCGAGAAGAGTTCAGCCGCGGACGGCAGCGAGAAGAGTTCAGCCCCGGACGGCAGCGAGAAGAGATCACCTCCACGACAGAGAGTTGCGGCTGAGTTGCGGCAAGAGATCCTTCCAGCCCAAGTCGAAGACAAGAGAACTTCCAGCCTAAGTCGACGAAGAAGAAGAAATACAACCCAAGTCGAAGACAAGAGAACTTCCAGCCTAAGTCGACGAAGAAGAAGAAATAACCCAAGTCGGAGAGAAGAATCAACTGCGAATGATCGATAGAAATTAGCCCCAGTGTCGAACCAAACCACATCCGACATACACAATTCTAAAGAGTAGGCAATTCGAAATCTTTTAGGTTGTGTGATAGAAGCTTGTTACCATAGTCCACAGAGCGGGTCGGGAAATGAGAACAATTTTGTTTTTATGTAGCGGACATTAAGATATAAAGGGTTGTTACCCATTTTTTTTTCATCAGCAATCTTTTTGTCTCGTGAGTTTATTTTCTCTTTTATTTGTTTTTGCCACCCCGTCGGACTCAACTTGTATCGGCCCCAATCCCTGCTGGTCCCGTCTGTCTAAGATCTAAACACAGCGTGGGTAGACAGACCGGAGATCGGTACAGTTGCTTTAGTGACCAGGTATTGGAAGCGAGTCGGGAAAGGCGAGGCTGGTGATCATCTGACCAAGGGGTTGGAGCGGCACGCTTGGACCCAGGAGGAGCGACCAGGAGGAGCGACGTCACCGTTGGCGCCGTAACCAAAGGATCCGACCCTGGGCCAGGTGTGTAACCGTCACACAATGCTTTCGCCTTACTGCCTGAAAATATCATATATTCAATGGTCAAATCTGATGAACTAGAAGTGAGGGAAGAAGCTATAAAAAGAATTTTGGCCATTAGGTTAGTAAATATTTATTCATATAAAATTGACTAAATTAGTTTTGCCGATTTAGGGAATAATTTTAAGGATTTTATCTCATTTCACCATAAATATTAAAACAGTACTGAGTGCATTTTTTTTAATAACTCAAATTAATTTTTATATTTTTTTGGAGTGGGGAGCCAGCCAAGAAAAGATTAAAAAATGTCGAACTGAACCCTTTATTTCGTTCACTGAGGTAGATGTTCTAGTTCCAAGTGCCATGTTTAATGGATGTCAGTTATCAGTTATCCCCTGTTAATTTCCCTCTGAAAGTTCTCCACTGCCTTAACTGGGTATTGAACTCACACTCTTTGGGTCCTGTCACTGGATCTAACCAACGCCTTTATCCACTATGTGAAGTGTCAAAGAAAAATTAACAGTCCATTTCGACATTCCAACAACCTGAAGAAGGTCGGAGCGTACAACGGCCGATACGTTGTAATAAATATGGCGACAAAGATGAGGACAATAGTCCGAATAATGTCAATAAGATATTAAGACGAACACATAATAAGGACGTGTAGGATATATGTCAGTTATTGGCCAGAGTTTTTATTTTATTTTTTCTTATTTTTTGGTCTATATCGCCTGAGGATACCTAAAGTTTGAAACCATGGAAGTGTAATTGGCTTTTAGCTTCCATTTTTGAAACATGGTTAGAACTGTGTAGCGAAAAAAAAATCATATTTATAATATATATATATTTCTGCTGTGTAGCGAAAAAAAATCATATTTATAATATATATATATATATATATATATATATATATATATATATATATATATATGAAGAATTAATGGATTTATTTTTATTTGACTTTTTTATTACTTCAAGCATTTTTTTTTAAATTTTAATGCCAATGTTAGAAATAGACGGCCTCATTTTTTTTCAATTCGTCTATCAGCCTGAGCAGCCGAAAACCTTTAATAAAGACAATGTGTTTTATGTTGGAGAAACCATCGTTTTATCCGGCATACTTTAGTCCGCTTCGCCACTGAGAGTATCAGAGCCAAGTATGTTTATTTTTACGCTTTTAAGGAAAACACCCTTTATCAGATCCAACTCTTATACATCAAAGACGACGAGAGAGTTGGTCATATACACCTAGAGAGAGAGAGAGAGAAAGAGAAAGAGTGAGAGAAAGAGAAGGGAGTGATGGAGAGAGAATGAAAGAATTATTATTAATTTCATATGTTACTTACATTTCTTATTCCTTCTTTACTTTCTTCATTATTCCTTCTTTCCTTCTTTTTTTTATTCCTGCTTTCACTCCTTCATTATTTCTTCTTTATTTCTTCTATACTTCCTTCTTTATTCCTTCTTTACTTCCTCTTTTATTCTTTCTTTATTTTCTTCTATCTTTCCTTACTTTCTCTTTTATTTCTCCTATACATCTTTCTTTATTCATTCTTTACTTTCTTCTTTATTCCTTCCTTGTTTTATACCTTCTTTGCTTCATTTTTTCCTTCCTTACTTCATTCTTCATTTCTTCTTTACATCTTTTTTCATTCCTTCTTTAATTCCTTTCTTATTTTCTTCTTTATTCCTTCCTTGCTTCTTTAGTTCGTTTTATTTATTTTATTTTATTTTTCGTTTTCTTTCGTAGTAATTTTAGGTCTTGTTTCTAATGGCGATCTGGTACATATACACTCAATCATATACACCTATAATAAAAAATAAAAAATAGGTATAAATAGATATACACACCCAGTCAGGCAAAAGAGAAAGAGAGAAGGATAGACTGGGAGAGAAAAAAGGAGAGACAAGGAGATTGAAAAAAAGAATTCAAATATCCAAAATTCGTAGTAGACCACGTTTACATTCTTACCATCCGTCCAAGATGTTATCCAATACCCCTTGTCTACCGCTAACCGGACCAGACCCATTTCTCCCTGAACACCCCTCGAAATATTTAGACAGGTTAATCTGTCCCTTATGTTTTTTTGCAGTGATTAACATAGAGAAAAGCTGGAATATGAAGTGGTTTTAGTTTGTCTTCGAGAAACAGGATTTCCTACCCCACCGTTCATTTTTTTTTATTTATTTATTTTTATTTTTTATTTATTTATTTATTTTTTTATTTTATTTTATTTTATTTTATTTTTTTTTTGGTAATGACAATTACACGAAAAGAAAACCTTTTTTCAAAAAGGAAAGAAAAGGAAAAATAAACCTGAAGCCTAAAGTCTGAGTTACGAAAGAGTTTGGTCTTTCTTCTGCTTATGTTTACTTTAGTCGACCTCCGCTGAAACGTGATTTTACCGATTCCGTTCTCTTCGGAGTCTGGCTGCCCAAAGTAAAGAAACCGAAACTGTAAAATGCATGATTTTTCAATTAAGAATATTTTTCTTTTTCTTCTTTTCTTGTTTTTTTTTTCTTTTTCTTCATTTCGTCTTTTTTTCTTCTTTTCTTTTCTTCATTTCGTCTATTTTCTTCTTCTTTTTCTTCTTTTCCTTTCTCTTTCTTCTTTTCTTGTTTTTTCCCTTTTCTTTTTCTTCTTTTCTTTTTCTTCATTTCGTCTTTTTTTCTTTTCTTCATTTCGTCTTTTTCTTCTTCTTTTTCTTCTTTTCCTTTCTTTTTCTTCTTTTCTTTTTTCCCCCTTTTCTTTTCCTTCTTTTCTTTTTCTTCATTTCGTCTTTTTTCTTTTCTTTTTTTCATTTGGTTTTTTTTTCTTCTTTTCTTCTTTTTTTCATTTTCTTTTTTCTTGTTTTTTTTTTTCTTTTTTTCTTTTTTTTCTTCATTTTTTTTTTTTTTCTTTTCTTTTCTTCATTTCGTCTTTTTCTTCTTTTTCTTCTTTTCCTTTCTTTTTCTTCTTTTCTTGTTTTTTCCCTTTTCTTTTTCTTCATTTCGTCTTTTTTTCTTCTTTTCTTTTCTTCATTTCGTCTTTTTCTTCTTTTTCTTCTTTTCCTTTCTTTTTCTTCTTTTCTTGTTTTTTCCCTTTTCTTTTTCTTCATTTCGTCTTTTTTTCTTTTCTTCATTTCGTCTTTTTCTTCTTTTCTTTTTCTTCATTTCGTCTTTTTTTCTTCTTTTCTTTTCTTCATTTCGTCTTTTTCTTCTTCTTTTTCTTCTTTTCCTTTCTTTTTCTTCTTTTCTTGTTTTTTTTCCTTTTCTTTTTTCTTCTTTTCTTCATATCGTCTTTTTCTTCTTCTTCTTCTTTTTCTTTTTTTCCTTTCTTTTTCTTCTTTTTCTTATTCTTCTTTTCTTCTGTTCTTTTTCTTCTTTTTCTCTGTTCTTTGTCTTCTTTTATTTTCTTCTTTCTTTTTTTCTTCCTTTCTTTTCTTCTTTTCTTTCTCTTCTTTTTTTTTCTTTTACTTTATGTTGTGTGTCTTTCTTTCTAAAATCCTTTCTGATTGTTGCTTATTGTGGCGTTTCTCGTTCTCCCATTTTTCTTTCTATGTCTTTTCTTTTTCTTTCTTGTTCATTGGTGAACTTCTTTCTTTTTTCTTTCTTTCTATTTTCTTTTATTTTCACCTCAACAATTTCTTTCATTTTTTTTTTATTTTCTTTCCCAGTGTCGGATCACTTTCTTTCTCTCAATTTTCTTTCTTTCTTTCTTTTTTCTCTTTTTAATCTCACCGATTTCTTTTTCTTTTTTTCTCATTGATTGTTCGTTTTCCTTCTTTTAATTTTCTTTATTTCTCTCATTCTTTCCTTCGTTAATTCTTTCTTTCATTCTTTTATTTTTTTCTTTATTCATTTGTTTCTTTGCTAACCCTATTCATTCGTTATTTTCTTTTTTTTCTTTTTTCTTTATATCGAATGTATTTCTTCCTAAAAATTCTTTCTTTTTCTTCCTTATTGTGGAGTTTCTTTTTCTCTCATTTTTCTTTCTATGTTTTTTTTCTTTATTCGTTGGTGAACTTCTTTTTCTTTCTTTCTTTCTTTCTTTCTTTCTTATTGGCAGGTTATTTTCTTTCTTTGAATCCCCTTAATTCTTTTTTTTTCTTTTTTTAAACTTCCCTATTTATTTCTTTAATCTTTTCTTATTGTTGTATCTCTTTCCCTTAATCTTTCTTTCTTTCTTTCTTTCTTTCTTTCTTTCTTTCTTTCTTTCTTTCCCATTATTTTTTTCCTTCTTTGAATTTCCTTTTCGTCTGCTTTACTTTCTATTCATCTTTCCGATCAGTATCATTTTTCTTTTTCCTCATTGTTGGGACTTTTTCTTTCTTTTTCTTATCGCTGATGTAATTCCTACGTTCTTTATTCTTCTTTCTTTCTTTCTTTCTTTCTTTCTTTCTTTTTTTTTTTTTGTTCGTTCCGTCAGATTTCTTTATTGCCTCACTTATCTTCTTTTCTTTGTCCTTTTCTCCTCCGTTATCTTCTTTTTATTGCCCCCGTTTCTCATTTCTTCACCTCACCTTGACGCAGCTTACCACCCACCCATCCATCCTTATTTTTCGATATCTACAACTTCTTTTCTTACTTTTTATTCTTTCAAAAGTAATATTGTTTTTCTACTTAATTCTTTGGTTTAACTTTTGGTAATTTGAGACATAATCAAGAACAAGTGTGATTAACTTAATTTTTTTTTTTTTTTTGTTTGTTCCTAGTTTTCTATTTTATTTCTTTCATCACTATTCATTATTTCGTTTCGGTCAAAGCCGTTCCTGTTTTTGTACTGTTTATTTTATTTTCCTTAAACTGAATTTCATGTCAACTTAAGTGAAAACAGTCACTGCATTAAGAAAAGCATCGAACAGGGAAAGAAATAAAAATGGATACGAAAAATGGTGAATAATAATAATAATAATAATAATAATAATACACAGCCAGAATAAACTTGGCATTATACACAGAGAGAAAAATCAAAGAAAAGCCCTGTATCTTTTAAGATCTTCAAAATGACGAACAAAATACAAGGATTTTGAAATGGAAAACTCAAAAATCTAGCACATAAGGGCATCAATAATTCCATCTGTGGTTGGAGGCCTGAGTTTGATTCATAAAAATGTTTATATACTTACTAAAGGGATCCATGGCAGCCAATACTTAAAGAAATACAAATGATTGGATTCACCACTACAGCTCACAGCTTACGGAGGTAATTAGCTATGTAGAAAATATGTAATCTTCGGTTGTTTTATTTTTATTTTTATTCGTTATTGTTGCAAAAATATGCAGCCATTTCTGCCATAATGTCTGTTTATATTTCTGAGATGAGGTATTATGTACACTATTTACATTATTCGGACTATTGTCCTCATCTATGTCGCCATATTTATTACAACGTTTCAGCCTTTCAGTATCTGTCTATATTTCTGAGATGATGTATTGTGTACACTATTTACATTATTCGGACTATTGTCCTCATCTTTGTCGCCATATTTATTACAAAGTTTCAGCCTTTCAGTATCTGTCTATATTTCTGAGATGATGTATTGTGTACACTATTTACATTATTCGGACTATTGTCCTCATCTTTGTCGCCATATTTATTACAAAGTTTCAGCCTTTCAGTATCTGTCTATATTTCTGAGATGAGGTATTATGTACACTATTTACATTATTCGGACTATTGTCCTCATCTTTGTCGCAATATTTATTACAACGTTTCAGCCTTTCGCTATCTGTCTATATTTCTGAGATGAGGTATTATGTAACCTATTTACATTATTCGGACTATTGTCCTCATCTTTGTCGCCATATTTATTACCACGTTTCAGCCTTTCAGTATCTGTCTATATTTCTGAGATGAGGTATTATGTACACTATTTACATTATTCGGACTATTGTCCTCATCTCTGTCGCCATATTTATTACAACGTTTCACCCTTTCGCTATCTGTCTATATTTCTGAGATGAGGTATTATGTACACTATTTACATTATTCGGACTATTGTCCTCATCTCTGTCGCGATATTTATTACAACGTTTCACCCTTTCGCTATCTGTCTATATTTCTGAGATGAGGTATTATGTACACTATTTACATTAATCGGACTATTGTCCTCATCTTTGTCGCCATATTTATTACAACGTTTCACCCTTTCGCTATCTGTCTATATTTCTGAGATGAGGTATTATGTACACTATTTACATTATTCGGACTATTGTCCTCATCTTTGTCGACAATTATATCACAACGTTTCGGCCTTTCAGTATCTGTCTATATTTCTGAGATGAGGTATTATGTACACTATTTACATTATTCGGACTATTGTCCTCATCTTTGTCGACAATTTTATCACAACGTTTCGGCCTTTCAGTATCTGTCTATATTTCTGAGATGAGGTATTATGTATACTATTTACATTATAAGGACTATTCTGCTCATCTTTGTCGCCATATTTATTACAACGTTTCGGCCGTTGTACGCTCCGGCCATCTTCAGGTGGCACAGTGGATAAAGGCGTTGGTTAGATCCAGTGACAGGACCCAAAGAGTGTGAGTTCAATAACCGGTTAAGGCAGTGGAGAACTTGGAGAGGGAAATTAATAGAAGATAACTGATAACTGACATCCATTAAACATAGCACATGGAAGAGCCTACCCCAGTGAGCGAAATAAAGGGTTCAGTTCGACATTCCAACCACCTGAAGAAGGCCGAAGCGTACAACAGCCGAAACGTTGTAATAAATATGGCGACAAAGATGAGGACAATAGTCCGAATAATGTAAATAATGGCCATTTCTAAGATTAGCTCTCTGGCTGGAACCCGGAAATAAATGAGTATGCAACAGAAATTAAAGGAATAATAATAATAATAATAATAATAATAATAATAATAATACAATTCTATGGGACTACACAATACACACTGACAGAACAATCAAGGCCAACCGGCCAAATATTGTTATTAAAGACTACAGAAAAAAACGATGCCTCCTTATTGATATGGCAGTCCCTGCTGACTGAAATGTATCTTTGAAGATATTCAAAAAGTTGTCAAAGTACAAGGACCTTGAAATAGAAATCTCGAAAATGTGGCATATGGGAACATCAACAATCCCTGTTGTAGTTGGAGCCCTAGGACTGGTTGGAAAAGATTGCAGTAGACTAATTGAAGGGATACCTGGAAGTCCATGCCTCAAGGAGATACAAAAAATTGTTCTGACAAGTACAGCCCACACCTTACGAAGGGGCTTTATCTATTTAATTTTTTTTTTTTTTTTTTGTCAGTGGAAAGTGTCATGATGCCATTTCTAACCTTAGGTCCCTGGGCGGGACCGGAAAGAAATGTGTAAACGCCAGAAATCAAAGAAAAAAAAATAATAATAATAATAATAATAATAATTATTATTATTATTATTATTATTATTAAAATAATAATAATAATAATAATAATAATAAAGACAACCTGATACAAGATGGCCGATTTTTCTGAATATTTATCACAGAATATTACAATTTTTTCACTATGTGTGCATAGTATTTTTTAGTATTTATTTTAGTCCGGCAAGAATAAAATCTGCGGTTTTAGTTTTTAACCCTGCACTACGTAGTCACTAATGGGTATGGTGTTTTGTCTCCGTCAGCTTCTTTAGTACGGGCAGAGTATTGACTATGAAGATGCTTATCTTGCCATCGTTTCTGCATTTCTTTACATGGCATTTGTTTTGTTTTTGTCTTGTTTTTTTGGTTCTTTGCAGCTGCAGTAGGTGCATTATGGTTTATTTGCACTTCTTCACCCACTTGAAATTCCGCCTTGAATTTGTTGGCTTCCTTTATTACTAAATAAATCTTCTTCTTTCATGTTCCTTGAAAGAGATCATCATCCAGTCTTCTGTAGTTTTATTATTATTATCATTACCATTTTATTTTGTTTTCTGCTTTGGTCCCAAAACCTACCAAATCAGCGGGAAGACCTAAGGCAGGTGATAGGGCCTTCTTATGGCTACATTTCGTAAATTTTTCTAACTCGCTAACATCACTAGCGTTACATAGACAAAATTTTTCGTAGTGTTTGAGCTGTACTTATCAAGACAATTTCTTGTATTTCTCTTAAGCTGGGATTTCTAGGGATTTATTTTATTATTATTATTATTATTATTATTATTATTATTATTATTTCCTTTCATTTCTGTTATATAATCCTTTCATCCGGGTCCCAACCAAAGATCTATGTTTAGAAATGGCTTCATGATATTTTCCACTGATCACTTTTGTAAAAAAAATCACAAAACCCTAAGATCACACACATTTGACATAAAGCTCTTCTTTCTTCTTCTCCTTTCTTCTTCTTCTTCTTCTTCTTCTTATTATTATTATTATTATTAGTAGTAGTAGTAGTAGTAGTAGTAGTATATTTTGATTTCTGCTAAGGTCACAGTATCTACTTCTCTTCGTCTTCTTCTTTTTTCTTCTTCTCCTCCTTTTCTTCTTCTTTTTCTTCTCTTTTCTTCTTCTTCTTCTTCTTCTTATTATTATTATTATTAGTAGTAGTAGTAGTAGTAGTAGTAGTAGTAGTATATTTTGATTTCTGCTAAGGTCACAGTATCTTTCTCTTTTCTTCTTCTTCTTCTTCCTCCTTTTCTTCTTCTTTTTTTTCTTTTCTTCTTCTTCTTCTTCTTCTTCTTATTATTATTATTATTAGTAGTAGTAGTAGTAGTAGTAGTAGTAGTAGTATATTTTGATTTCTGCTAAGGTCACAGTATCTACTTCTCTTCGTCTTCTTTTTTTTCTTCTTCTCCTCCTTTTCTTCTTTTTTTTCTTCTCTTTTCTTCTTCTTCTTCTTCTTCTTATTATTATTATTATTATTAGTAGTAGTAGTAGTAGTAGTAGTAGTATATTTTCGATGACCTAAGGCAGGTAGTGTTGTGTTGCTTTGACATTTCAGGATTTGTTATTCCCATAACATCATTAACGTTACATAGACAAAGTTCTTCTTAGTGTTGCGGGGCGGTACTTATCAAGACAATTTCTTGTATTTCTCTTAAGTTGAGATTTCCAGGGAATTTTTTCACTCTGTTGTTGTGTTCCTTTTTTATCATTCCAAGCGCACCTTCTATAATTGGTACTATTCTTGTTTTCAATTTCCACATTTTTCGATTTGATTCCCAGGTCTTTATACTTCAATACTTTTTCAAATTCCATCCTTTCTATGTTAAAGTCCGCTGAGTAAGCAATATCAATTAGTAGGCCAGTTTTTTTCTTTTCGATTTTTTGACAATTATGTCCGGCCTATTTGCTTCGATCTTCCTGTCTGTAAAGATGGTGTAATCCCATAGAATTATGATGTCTTCTATTTTTGTAACCGGTGCTGGGTGATGTTTATAAATTCTTGAAGTGGAAATCTAAAAACATGTGGCACATTCCAGTTGTAGCTGAAACCCTCAGATTGATTGGAAAAGATTCCGATAAACTCATTGAAAGCATTTCTGGTAGCATATTCCTTAAAATTACAAGAAAATCGTACTCGAAGAACTTTATGTAAAATATGTGATTTTTTTTTTACAAAAATAATCAGTAAATTATGAAGACATTTCTGATCTTAGGTCTCTAGTTGAGACCTAGAAGGAAATGATTATACAACAGAAATACAAGGAAATAATAATAATAATAATAATAATAATAATAATAATAATAATAATAATAATAAAATAGGACCTATAAAAATTTGGTGGGACTATACAATACACACAGGCAGAATAATCAAAGCTAATCACCCAGAAATCGTTATTAGAGACCATAAAAAAAAATTCCTTATTGATATGGCAGTTTCTGCAGACTGCAATGTATATTTGAAGATATTCAAAAAGCTATCAAAATACAAGGATCTTGAAATCTAAATCTAAAAAATGTGGCACATGGGAACATCAACCATCCCTGTTGCAGTTGGAGCCGTCGAATTCGTTGGAAAAGATTCCAGTAGACTTATTGAAGGGATTCCTGGAAGCCCATGCCTTAAAGAAATACAAAAAAATGTTCTCAAGAGTACAAACCACACCTTACAAAGGGCTTTGTCTATGTAAAATATGTTTTTTTTTTTTTTTTTTTTTCAATTGCTCAATGGAAAATGGCACGACGCCATTTCTGACCTTAAGAGTCTGGACGGAATCCAGAAAGAAATGGGTACACATCAGAAATCAAAGGAAATACAATAATATTAATAATAATAATAACAACACTTCCCTGCCGACTGCAATGTATCTTTGAAGATCTTCAAAATGCTATCAAAACACAAGGAGATTGAAATCAAAATCTCAAAAATGTGGTACATGGGAACATCAACAATCCTCATTGTAGTTGGAGACCACGGATTGGTTGGAAAAGATTCCAGTAGACTAATTGAAGGGATCCCTGGAAGCCCATGCCTTAAACAAATACAAAAAATCATTCTCACGAGTACAACCCAGACATAACGAAGGGCTTTGTCTATGTAATTTTTTTTTTTTTTTTTTTTACAGTGCAAAATGTCATGATGCCATTTCTAACCTTAGGTCTCTGCGTGGGACCCGGAAAGAAATGTGTACACACCAGAAATGAAAGGAAATAAAATAACTATGACAGCAATAAGTAAATCATAACAATGGTTATCATAACGATCAGATTATGAAATCTATAAAGCCCCTTATTGATTATCAGTACTTCTAAATTTATTGATTTTAAGTTATAATTTTATTTTTTTAATCATTTCACCCCAGCAAGGCGGGAATGCCACTAGTACTCAGGGGATTTACAGAGAGTGAATATGAATAATAATAATAATAATAATAATAATACACAGCCAGAATAAACTTGGCATTATACACAGAGAGAAAAAATCAAAGGCCCTGTATCTTTAAGATCTTCAAAATGACGAACAAAATACAAGGATTTTGAAATGGAAAACTCAAAAATCTAGCACATATATGGATATTGTTCAAGTTGATAGAAAATGGCGATTGATGTTGCATTTAAATTTTTGAAGATTGTAGTTATCAGGGAAGCAAGGAAATGGAAGGGAGTTCCACAGGTGAAAAGTGCGAGAAAAGAAACTGTTGAGATAGAAGTGGTGGTTACATTTAGCTAATTCAACAATAAAATGGTGGGACCTAAATGCCAATCTAGCAGCACACTTAAACTCACGCACCCCGGGCACTAGATTAAAACTTATCAAAGCAGTAGCCATGAAAATTTGAAAAAAAATTATATCAGAATCGATTTAACCACTAAATAAAACGTGACTGTTTGCGCTGACAACGGTAAGTTATCGTGATTTGGAAAGTGTTATTTTTTCCTTGTATTGAAAACTGTTTACAAATATATTGAGTTGTATTAACACCGAGCCTCCAAAACAGAATTTCCATTGGCCACACCTATGGGCGGTACCCACAACTATAATAATTAAAATGAATACAAATAAATGCATTAAGATCATACCAAGAATTCACTATCATATCCATCCAATCTGAGCAAAAGCAATTTTGGCAAACTTTCAATATATAAGTACCTTGTAAATAGAAATTGCAAGAAGGTGGCGTTTAAACACAATGATAATGGAAGCTGTAATGACAAAAGTACACAGATGTAGGCTTTAAGAAAGCTTTATTCAAATGTCCTTTTATAGTCCCAGTAAACAGAAATAGTTATCTCAAAGAGGAGAGTAACAAGACAAGGGGAGACAAATCTTGATTATTCAAGACAGAAAGATTAATCGGAATATTTATAATGGCTGAAGCCAAGTATTGGGTCGTTACATATGTCCGTTCGTTTTTTTTTTTTTGTTTTTTTTTCGGCTGTGTTGTGATTGATCTGTGTTGTGATTTCGTTATATATTTTTTTGCTTCTTAGTAACTCCTATCGGTCATACCATTGCCATGTCTCTAAGTTACCTTCCGCAATGGATGTGTTATATAGATGAACAAGCCACCAATGTTGTTCAAACAGTAAAGTTGAAAGAAAATGAATACCTGGAAATATATTTGAACTTTGATAAAACCTGAAGATGACAATTTTAGCCATTACTTCTGGCGCGCTTGGAAAAGTCAGGAAGACATTCAAGGATTTACTATTGATGAAAACAATCAAAGCAACATGGGATATTGTTGTGTTCTGTTTGGAGGCCAGAAAGAAAGACCCGGAAGACGAAGGTAGGTTGAAAATGTATATTGAAGATATATACAAAACAATAGTGTTAGTAATAAATAGATTAGCACTGCGTCTACTACTCCACTCCACTTCACACTCTGCTCTCCCGTCCGACTCTCGCAGTTTGTAATTATGAGAGAAGGAAGAGTTCATTATACTGTAAGAGGGTTTACCACAGCAAATATGCAGGCGTTAATGGCAGAAACAAGAGGACAACTGAAAGATCTTCGAGACAAGACAAGAGAAGAGTAATCAGGAAGTCAGTAAATAACGACTGACATTGCATTTACATTTCCGAAGATCAATGATGGCTGGCTAGCATGTCGTCAAAAGAATGTCCAAGAAGCAAGTAGTGCGAGAAAAGAAACATAGCATAGAACTTACGGTTACATCGAACCAATTCAACTATAAATTGTTGAGACCTAGCTGCCAATCTAGTACTGCGCTTACATGCATAAATTTAAGCTATCACAGCGAAGAGTTCACCCGAACAATTACCATGTAAGGATTTATAGAAAAGACAGAAGGGAACAACTTTACTACGGTAGGAAAGAAACTGAAGCCTGAAGATCAAGAGCACTAATATTGCTGATTCTTCTTTGTATTTTATCAAGAATCTCTAAATATATAGCAGAAGCACCAGACCAGATGTGGCAGTAATATTCAATGCATGGATGAATGGTAGACTTATAAATATGTAATATAGATTCTTCTTTGGATTTTATCAAGAATCTCTAAATATATAGCAGAAGCACCAGACCTGATGTGGCAGCAATATTCAAAGCAAGGATGAATGGTAGACTTATAAATATGTAAGATAGATTCTTCTTTGGATTTTATCAAGAATCTATAAATATATAACTGAAGCGTCAAGTCGCACGATATTAGTGGCCAATTGACTTCGCTGTTTCGTGATATGATGCAACCTGGGAACTTTTCATTCATATTTCGTTTGAACGTCCATTTTCGTAATTGGCTTCGATAACTTTAACACGTTGTGTGATTGTTAATCTTTCCATGGTTGGAACTGCCAAAGACTTAAGTTGTTAAATCTGAAAGAAAAAGAAAAAAACCATTAGATGGTTAAACTTAATTCACATTTAAAATTGGTCCAAGTTATTTGAACATCCTTTAATTAGGAAGCTTGTCTCTCGGCCATTTACGACTGATCCATGAGGTGGGGGCGCCATATTTATTATCTCATCCTTCAGCTGTTGAATTGTCGTTGGCTTGTTGGCATAGACTTTACTTTTGATATGACCCCAAAGGAAGAAATCTAAAGGCGTCAAGTCGCACCATCGTGGTGGCCAATTTTCTTCGCTGTTTTCTAGAGATGATGCGACCTGGGAACTTCTCATTCAATTTCTAAGTTGTTAAATCTGAAAGAAAAAGTTAAAAAAAATCATTAGACGGTTAAATTTAATTCACATTTAAAATCGGTCCAAATTATTGGAACACCCTTTATAAAGCAGAGTGTCGGAATGTTTATAGCGTTTAAGACCTGGGTTCGAATCTCCTCGTCGTTGATTTATTAAAGAGGTGAATTTTAAAAAAAATTGTTGATGTGTATTGAAGGCGACCCCATCGTGCTGCACCATTGAAAAAATACCATGTGTTCCACCAAAGCCCTTTGAGTGTAGTTCTGTAGATGCAACTATTCAGAAGTTAGAACAAAGCCACAAGTGAGCATGATTGTTTCTTTACTGTTTATCAACCCTTTGTGGCTAATTTGAAGCAGCACAATATTTTTAGACTGTAAGAATAATTCTTTTTTTGCGAGTGCAAATATGGCATTGACTATTTGGTGGCAATAACAATGATCGTTTCAAGATTAAAATCCTACTATTTAACCCATTGATGGGCAGAAAAGATGAATTCATACCTTTCCCAGGGTTATTTGCGCGTAAGTGAATGCAAAGAACTCGACTGAGAGACAGAAGTTTTGAGAGTGCAAGGCTTATTTAAACTGCTGATCACACCAGGTGAGGTTCTTTACCTCTCCCCTCTCTCCTCTCTCTCTCTCTCTCTCCGCCTCTCTATCTACCTTTCTCTACTTCTCTATCCCTCTCTCTACTTCTCTCTCTTTCTCTCTCGTCCCCTCTTTCTCCCTTTTTCTCTCTCCCTCTCTCTTTCCCCCCTCCTTCGCTATCTCTCCCCCTTTCTTTCTCCCTTCCATATCTCTCACTCTTTCTATCTATCTCTCTACCTCTTTCTATCCCTCTCTTCACCTCTCTTTCTCTCTCCCCCTTCCCTTTTTCCCGTCTCTTTCTCCTCTCCTTCCCTCTCTCCCTCTCTACTCTTTCTCTCCTTTGTCTCTCCTATTATCAATCTCACTCTCTTTACCTCTTTCTCTCCCTTTCTCCCCCTTTCTCTACTTCTTTCTCTCTTTCCCCTCTCACTCGTCTCTCTCTTTCTCCCTAATTCCCTCTCTTTCCCCTCTCTTTCTTCTCCTTCCCTCTCTCTCTCTCTTACTCGCTATCTCAAGGTCTTTACCTATTTCTGTCCTTCGCTCCCCTCTCTCTACTTCTTTCTCTCTCTCACTTTCTTCTCCCCTCTCCCTCCCCAGCTAGATTTGGTACTCTGTCCAAGAAACAATACCTCAGGACCGTTGACGTATAAAACATATGTAGGCTCTGTGGGTGTTGAAAGAGAAAAAAATGCCTGTTCAGGCGTCTGCAGTAGGGATAAGCTAGCCACCCTGGTTAACGTGTGTGCTCTTAGACGAGGAGACGGAAATTTATTTATATGAAGGGTTTTCATTATTTGGACTATTGTCCTCATCATTGTCCCTATATTTATTACTTCGGCCGTTGTACGCTCCAGCCTTCTTCAGGTGATTGGAATATCGAACTGAACCTTTTATTTCGCTCACTGGGGTAGACTGTTCTAGTTCCACGTGCCATGTCTAATGGATGGCAGTTACCAGTTATTTCCTGCTAAGGCAGTGGAGAAGTTGGAATGGGAAATTAACAGGGGATAACTGATAACTGACATCCATTAGACATGGCACGTGGAACTAGAACAGTCTACCCCAGTGAACGAAATAAAGGCTCCTCAAGGACACATAGCACAGTGGATCAAGTCGTTAGTTAGATCCAGTGACAGGACCCAAAGAGTGTGAGTTCAATACCCGGTTAAGGCAGTTGGAGAACTTGGGGAGGGAAATTAATAGAAGATAACGGATAACTGACATCCATTAAACATGGCACATGGAAGAGCCTACCCCAGTGAGCGAAATAAAGGGTTCAGTTCGGCATTCCAACCACCTGAAGAAGGCCGGAGCGTACAACAGCCGAAACTTTGTGATAAATATGGCAACAAAGATGGGGATAATAGTTCGAATATTGTAAATATTGTACATAATACTTCATCTCAGAAATATAGACAGATACTGAAAGGCCGAAATGCTGTGATAAAGATAGCAAAAAAGACGAGGACAATAGTCCGAATAATTTAAATAATGTACATAAAGCCTCATCTCAGAAATATAGACAGATACTGAAAGGCCGAAACGTTGTGATAAATATGGCGACAAAGATGAGGACAATAGTCCGAATAATGTAAATAGTGTACATAATACCTCATCTCAGAAAAATAGCCAGATACTGAAAGGCCGAAACGTTGTAAAAAATATGGCGACAAAGATGAGGACAATAGTCCGAATAATGTAAATAGTGTACACAATACATCATCTCAGAAATATAGACAGATACTGAAAGGCCGAAACGTTGTGATAAATATTGATGACAAAGTTGAGGACAATAGTCCAAATAATGTAAATAGTGTACACAATACCTCGTCTCAGAAATATAGACAGATACTGAAGGGCCGAAACGTTGTGATAAATATGGCGACAAAGATGAGGACAATAGTCCGAATAATGTAAATAGTGTACATAATACCTCATCTCAGAGATATAGCCAGATTCTGAAAGGCCGAAGCGTTGTAATAAATATGGCGACAAAGATGAGGACCATAGTCCGAATAATGTAAATAGTGTACATAATACTTCATCTCAGAAATATAGACAGATACTGAAAGGCCGAAACGTTGTAATAAATATGGCGACAAAGATGAGGACAATAGTCCGAATAATGTAAATAGTGTACACAATACATCATCTCAGAAATATAGACAGATACTGAAGGATTCTATATGAAGATGATCGCTCTGGTAGGTTATTAAATATATATATTGCTTTCCGTCATTTTCTCTTTGTTTCTATTTTGATTAGTTAACTTCATCTTTTTTCTCCATATAACCAAAAAGTACCAGCATTTTTTAATGGACTTGAAAAAAAATAATGACTACGATGCCTTTTTCGAGTGGCATAGACTCGTCATAATTCACACACTGCTTCTTTGCAAATGGAACCAATTGGTCCTGTCTAAAACAAACGAAAGAAAGTTGGTCAGCTGAATTATAGCAACGACCTTTACGAACAGCCCCTCCTAAGTAGGACTTATTTGTGGGGTCATTTTAATCGAGACCCTTTTGGGAGTTAATTACCACCTTTACTTTACTGCACCCAGTTCAGTTGAATTTCTCTTTGTGGCGCAGGACGAGAACGATAGAAAAAGTAACAAAAAAAAAAAGAAATATATAATGAAAAAAAAACTCTGTACGTGACGAAATAAAAGAGAATACAAAAAAAAGAGAACGGATACGAAGATAAAATAGAAAATAGAAAAAAATAATGGTGAGGTGGGGGGGGTCTTTAAAAAATTGATTCTGCAACATAGAACACCTTCTGTCATTTTTCGCCTTCCGTACATTCAAGAAACGCAAACACGCTGTGTGTATTCGTTCTTCTGACACGAACTGCGGCCCAAGGATTTTTCATAAAATGTAAGGAAATGTATTTATTTGCTTACTCGTTAGATGCAATTTTTCTTCACTTCGCTTACTGCCACAGATTTTCATATTAACCCTACATTCTTGGAAAAGTTAATAGTCATATTCAGCTGTTTCCTTATAAGGAAATATTCCGCAGTGCTTCCAGCGGCTGAAATTCATCAATTCTTTCTCTTCAACCAGAAAACTGGATTCCTGAAATTCACTGCTATCGTTCTTTATAAAATTGATAGGTACTCATTCCTAAACTTTGAAATAGTGCAGACCGTCAACATCTTGATTATATCATCACTTTCTCTTCGAGTCACATCTGCTATCCATTTTAGTTCTTTCTGCTGTTGAAATTCCTCATGTGGTTTCTGTCATTTGACATAGTTCTTTCTAGGAGATCCTGTAGCGCCAGTTTAGGTGATTCGAAGATGGATCATTCTCGCTAAGACCTATAGGATTCATTCGCTAGAAACCATTTTTAATCGTCGGTCTGAGAAAGCGGTTATATACAACTGACAATTTAGATATTTCTGAACGGCTTTGTCACCATCCATATGTACGTCTCAATCTGCCAAAGCTGTTTAAGAACATAAATCGAGAGTTTAGGTTTTATGGTGGGGTGCTCTATATAGAATTAGTACCTTTGATGTCTGGTAAGCTTCACCTTTCATTGGCGTCCTCTCCTACGTCCAGCTTCAATGGTGCCTTGCGTGATGGTCTTGCACACGGCTGTCAGGCTTTAAACGTATCCAAACCACGCCATTTGTCTCCGTTTGACAGTGGCGAGAAGAGGTTCCTCATGGCCCACAAAACTTTCAACCCTTTTCCGTACAAACTCATTGGTTTTATGTTCCCAATAGAAGATGCCAAGGAGTTTCCTCATGTATACGTTCTCAAACAGTTGGATCCTTCTCTCTGTCTCTGCCAACAGTGTCCACGTTTCACATCCATATAGGAGAATGGAGACTACCAGCGATTTGTAGTTTGTACTTTGTTTGAAAGCTGATATTGCTCCTCCATATTCTTGACAATTTGGCCGCCGCTGCTATGATAACAATACTGCAAGTATAGCATCGGTTTCCCCGAAAGCAACAGCCTGAAAACTGTTAGGATTTACATTAGAGCCATACCGGAAAATATCCCGAAAAAACTATATTCAAAAACAGTTCATTTATTTATATTTATTTTTTCTATAAATATTTTCAGGCTAATTGCTCTGATGATCTTCCCTGACTGGTACTACGACTTAACGAATATAAACACAGTACTAGATTGGCAGATAGGTCAAATCGACTCTGAATTCAAAACCAGTTGAGTACGAGGCTAGCAATACCTTCCCTAAACAAAGCTACTAGTAACAAAACCCAATTAACAACAACGAGTGTGATAAAACTCTGACTCTATATGCTGCATGGTTAATATTAATCAGATGCTAAGGATTTCATAGACTGGATACCCTAATTTTGGCTGATAACCACTTTAATGGAAAACTTTGAATTCAAATCCTATCGGATATGGAGCTAGCAATACTTTCCCTACAAAAATCTTCCTGTATCAAAAATCCAAGCAGCAACATCAAGTGTGATGAAGCTCTGTCCCTATAAGGTTTAATATAAATCGTATTGTAAGGACTTTTTTTAGAGGACAACAGAATCCAAAACCAGTAAAGTACGGGGCTAGCAATACCGTCACTAAACAAAGCTACGAGTAACAAATCCCAAGCAGCAACACTATGTGTGGTGAAGCACTGGCCCTATTTGCCGCAATAAATTAAATGCTAAGGATTTCATAGACTGGATACTTTAAATTTGGTTGGTAAATACTTTAGAGAAGGACAACTCAAAACCAGTTGGTTATGGGTATATTAATATTCTCCCAAGAAAAATCTACTCGTAACAAGAACCCAAGCAACAACACCATGTGTGATGAAACTTTGGCTCTGTACGCTAGAGGGTTGATATAAATCAAATGCTAAAATATTTTAGCTGGCGAGTTGGAAAATATTAAAAATTTTGGTTGGTAAACACATTAGAGAAGTTACACGGGTAAATTGTTCTAATTACACATGTTATATCTTTTTAAGTAAGTTCAAGATATTGAAACTATATTGAACCATTGTAATGGCAAGGCTATTAATTGACGTAATTCTGCTCTGAGAGTTCAGTTCAATTCTTAATATTAGCAGTACCCTTCTATAGAACTCTTTTCACACTATTTCTTTCATTTTTATGGTGAATTCTTTCACCCTCTTTTATACCAAGGTACTTATAAGCTTTTTCTTGCTCTAAATCTTTAGATTGTTACCCCACAGTCTAAGCTAACAGAGGAGATTGTTGTAGTGATCATCGTAAAATTGTGGCTTTAGCACATTTATTCAAACCAAATTCCATTCCATTCACTGAAACATTTTACTGTTACCCAGAGAACTTCCAATTCACTGTCATTCGTAGCATACAACTTTAAGTCATCCATGTAAAATAGATGGCTTATTTTCTTTTGAGATATCTTATAGCCATATTCCGTCTTGTTAAGCTCGCTGGTTAATTCTATTAGGGATAGACAAAATAGTAAGGAAGACAACAAGTCACCTTGAAATATTCCTCAATTGATGTTTATTTCAACAGACTTATAGATTCCATTTATATGATTGAGGTGAAGTGTTGTTTTCCATATTGACATACTTTGTTTGATGAAATTAATGAAGACGGTTGATACCTTGAATATA